CCCTGAGGGAAACGGGTGATTTGCTGCTATGTAAGTGGCATGGCGGGTCCTAGCCGTGAAGGTTTTCTTGAATTTGCTTTATTAGATAAAGCAATATCAATGATTATTAATGATGACTCTTATTTCATTTATCTACAATCCCTGTCGGCTGGGACTTCAGAATACGCCGACAGCGCCTCTGCAGAGGCATAAGACCCCCCCCCAATGAGACATCCTGGGTATGACGATAAACTGCATCATCCGAATGCAAGGCTTCTGATCAAGAGGTTTTGAGGAGCGTGGAACCACCTTTTAATTGCTGGTGTTCCCGGGCCCACAATGACTAAGTAGTAGAACCTGTTAGGGTCCCAGCTATGAGCAAATAGTTAAACCCCAAACTGGCGGTCAAAACACTATGAAAGTCTAAAAATAGTTTTTAATACTAGCAATATATGTTTGGAAAACATATTACCAGAAATATATTAAAAAAAATATTACCAGCAATAAAAATCTTACTTTCATTATTTACATTATTCAGACTGTAAATCTTCATTGCCATATTCACAACGTTCCAGCCTTTGTACGCTCCGGCCTTCTTCAGGTGATTGGAATTTCGAACCGAACCCTTTATTTTGCCCAACGGGGGTAGATTGTTCTAGTTCCACGTACCATGTCTCGTCCGGAGGTCTCAGTTATCTCCCTTTAACTCAACTCTCAAAGTTCGGTTCAACACTGGTGTATTGACCTCACAACTCTAGGTCTAGTCACTGGATCTAACCAACATCTTTATCGACTGGGCAATGTGTCCTTAAGGACACAATCACCAGAAGAAGGCCGGAGCGTACAATGGCCGAAACGTCGTGAATGTGGCAACGAAGATGAGGATAACAGTCCGAATAATGTAAATAATGCAAGTAATCATAATACCTCACCTCAAAGATATATACAGATAATAAAAATTTTGTCGGTATTAAATAAGCCATAGAGGGTTGATATGCCGTAAAACAAAGCAAACAAAACCATCATTTATCTACACATTATCTGCATTCTATCACAACACCTCGGATCATCAATCAACGTCTATTATAAACAGCGCCATGCGTAAATAAGCAACTAACAATAATATTAAATATAGAGAAAATGATAAGTTTATCCATCATAAAATATGCTGGTAAGATTGTTGTTTCCGTGTACAGCACCTGAAAGTATCCGACTCCTGTTCTCCTTCATCTTTACAAGAGCCAGATCAGATTAAATATAAAGTCCTCACTTCCCACCCTCGACCGAATTTAAAAGCGATTACGTGGCCCTGTGGGTGATGAATTATTTGCTACCCAGCAATCAATTTCCCACAAACGAAACTAGCTAGCCTCTCACCATTTTATCGCTATTCCCATGGCAAATATTCAGAGAAAGTACATAACTTAATTCCATCAGTTCAGACCTTCATAACTAAGTCTCACGATGGCCGTGCACACCGTCAATCCATATTTATTCTCTTTGTATTCCTTTGATAAGCTGGAACTTCCATTCAGACATCTTTTTGTACAGAACTGTCACTTCTGAGATGATGTTTCTCGACTACTAAAATCTTAACCTTTTCAAGTCCACGTTAGACATTATCTAGCCTACATATCCTCATAATATTCATATCCGTCTTTTACTAACATACACCGTTGTGCAAATTAATTGAAACAAAACGAATAATTCTGTTATTATTTACTTTTTTCGTATTTTTCCAATGAAACATGACCCAGTGTACATTTTAGTACTTCGTATGTCCATTCCACGAAGTCGTTCCTTTCAGATTGACCATAGATTCTCGATTGGATTTAAATCAAGAGAGTTTCGGGGCCAGTCAATAGTACTTTGCTCATTGTTTGATTTGCTCATTGTTAAGGCTTGCCAGTGTGTTCCTACAGCGTTACGATTGGCATTTCATTTAAATTTTTGAAGATCAAATTTGATTGGAATACCAGAGGCCCGAAGAGAGTTCTACAAGCGAGGAAAGAAACTGTTACCAGACACCTCTCGGTGACATCTAGCAATGTAAAGTTTAAAATGATGAGACCTTGCCGCCAATCCAGTACTGCGCTTATAATTCTGTAGTTTCCTTAGGTTTCCGTAGTTTTCCGCGTTTAGCTGTCCGCGGCGAATATATGCAAACAACGCGAGTAATGGCGGCCACCAACGACGCGATTGAATCCCAAATTTCACTGTCGATATCTCCAAAACGGTAGATTTTATCAAATTTATCAAGCCAGATTCAAATGGAGTTTGTACAATTACACATAACTGTAAGTATTTTGGAAATTCTTAATGCGAACTAAGTGCGGGTGTTACACTGCAAATTAACCCCAAAATTGTCGAAATTTTGATTGGAGTAAATTTAGAGTCCGCTTTGTGGTGATGAAACTCTACTAGTTTTGTTTTTGGGGGACTAAAACGTTTATAGCAAGACAATGTTATGGGGTAATTAGCGGGGAGGTGTATTGACACAGATAGATGTGACCGAATTCCCTAAAAGAAAATACAACAGATGTAGAAGAGTAGATGTCCTCCCATACGTCTATGAGTAAAAGGGTAGATGACTGTTGGGTATTGGCAGGGCCGGTGCAAGGTTCTTGTCCCACCACCCACCGAATCTATGATACGTCCCCCGAATCAGTGATACGGCCCCCTCAGAATCTATGATACGTAAAGAACATTAATCTACAATCCAGTGTGCCTAAAGATTTTAATTTTTTATTGTTCAATATATATATATATATATATATATATATAATATTTTTTGTTTAAAAATATGATTCCTTCGCTATGCACCAAACTTGTTCTTTTCTATTTTCTGCATACCTGGACAAATTTTGCACCCATTGACTCCGAACAAACGGGACATTGTAAGGACATTCATAAAAAATCTCAATAAAAAAAATAATCAAATTTTCCTTCTTTGTTTTATTCAACGAAACATGTTTGAATGAAAAGGTTGATGCCAAATATATATTATATATAGGCGTACATACGAGTGCGCGCAACACACGGGCATGCACACACACACACACACGCGCGCGCGCGCACTCACACACACCGATTAAAACGTGCCTATAATATTCTTTACCTCAATATAAAAGTGACGGAATACGAGAAAATAAAGAGTCAATTGCCGGTATCTCCAGACGAGTGGAGGGAGCAATTGCGGGAGGTCGTCTACGGGATGTTGAAAATAACATCAATCAGCTAAGGACACATTTTACATTTGTATTACTCCTATATATATATATATATATATATATATATATATATATATATATATATATATATTGTGTATTTAGGCAGCAAGCCTTCTTTCATGCAAGTTTCATTAAATATGATAGAGAAGGTGCATTGATTAAGTTTTTTATGTAATTTCTCGTGTGATCTTAATAGATAAATTATATAAAAACTGTCCAAATGTTTTTTTCCGGGAAAAACTTGATCAAAGCACCTTGTCTGTCATATTTGATATATGTATATATTTTCTGTTTATCTGTTAGTTTTATAGATACAAATATTTAAGTCAATGCTCTGTTTATAATAAGCAGTATTAAATACATTTTACCGGCCTGAATGTTCAAGAAATTTCATGGAAAATGTCTGTCCTCCGACACGAATCGAACCTGTATCCTACACGGAACGGTCATATATCCTGACGTGCTCTCCCATTTAACAACAGTGAAAGCGTCTAGCAAGCAAAGTCAAATTACTGTTTTTAAACAACAAATTTCCCATGATTTCTTTCGAATGCTCATATCTGCTCGAAGCGTATCTTAACGTAAACAAATTTAATTCAGGAAGGTAAAATGTCGTTAGAACTGGGTTTTTTTTGTTTTTTTTTTTATAAACAGCATTTACCTAAATATTTTCATCTATAAAATAACGTATAAACAGAAAATATATAAAATATTTGTCGGACTTAGTACATTTCATAATATATATATATATATATATATATATATATATATATATATATATATATATATATATATATATTTTAAGTTATGACGAACTTGGTAATTCGTATGGGTAGTCTCGAGGAGGATGAAATCCTGAGAGCTCAATGTAAATCCAGAGCTAATATTTAAAAGAAAAAACAGACCACTTTTAAGATACCATTATAATAATTTATTTCTGAAGTGCTATCTGATGATCCGCGTCCTTTAAAAGAGCTCTTCACTAATAAATTCTTATAGTGGTATCTAAAGTGGTCTATTTTTCTCTATATATATATATATATATATATATATATATATATATATATATATATATATATTGTGAGAGATACTGCACATACACATAAAATAATAGAGAGAAAGAAAAAGATAGATAGATAGATAGATAGATAGATAGATAGATAGATAGATAGAGAAAAACACTCTATGTAGGATATTTGTCTTAAAGTAAGTTTTGTTGTCCGACTAATGTTAGGAGAGCTTACCACGAGGTTTCTCCATATTTTCATAGTCCTTGATTAACAACCGACCTTCGGTGTCCTCAGCACGCATCTGACCACGATCGAAAGCCCTTAATCGGACCTCAAAGAATAAAAAAAAATGACGAGTGCATTTATATTCCCTCCGTCCAGCTATCAGCTAATGACAGCCCACCCGAAGTCAAATCAGCACCCGGCATGAGGTCAGTCGATACTCACCACTGCTTGTTTGTATTGTGTGCCTCGTAACCGCGGTCGGTCACGTGTACACGTCATTTGGCCCGTACAAAAGAACAATTCGAAAATGCTTTCCGGCATGAGGTCGTCCGCCTTTCCTCTGCCACCGTCACTTTCATACAACTCTCGCCACCATGTGCCTGTCAGGGAAAAGACGTTTCCACACCCAATTTAGCCACCGGTCACGTGCTTTTTCGAGTTTGTTAACAGTTTCCCCGCCGTTGATCACTTTATAAATTATCACAGCATTTTCTTGCGTTTTTTTCTTCTTTTATTTTTTTTTTTATTGCTGATTATGGGTATTAAATTCTGTGTAATGTGTTTTTCGGTAACCCCTTATCATTGTGACTTTCTTTCTTTCTTTCTTTCTTTCTTTCTTTCTTTCTTTCTTTATCTATCTATCTATCTATCTATCTATCTATCTATCTATCTATCTATCTATGTCTTTTCCTATCTACCTCTCAATCTATTCCTTCTTTTGTCTATCTATATTAATTCTTGTCTGTTCACTATCTATCTATCTATCTATCTATCTATCTATCTATCTATCTATTTAACGTCGCCTGTTAATTTCTCTCTCTCTCCACCTTTCTCTCACTATCTACCTGATATCGCGTTAATATCTCTAAATTTTTTCGATTCCTATCTATCCATCTATTTATCTAATCTCGCCTGTTAATCTCTCACTCACTCAATCTCTTATCTATCTATCTATCTATCTATCTATCTATCTATCTATCTATCTATCTATGTCTGTTCCTATGTATCTACCAATATATCAATATATTCTTTATAATTTTTTATATTTATGGATAGACAAGGCGTTTCACGATATAGACTGTGGAGACAATATATCAAACTACTGTAAGAAAGAAAAGAATATATATATATATATATATATATATATATATATATATATATATATATATATATATATAGGGTGACCAAAAAAACGGGAATTTTTGAAGTGCGTATTGCCAGACATGAGCAAGTGGCAACACTGCGAGACAGTGACCTTGAGCAAGTAAACATTTCGCCATTTAGAATTCAAGATGAAATTCACAGTATCCCAGCTCAGATGTTGCAGCAGTCAATGAGGAATCTCAACAGCAGATTTCAAGAATGCATTCGTACATGAGGACGCCATCTACAGGACATAATTTTTAAAAAATGAAAATTCTATCATTGTTTCTTAAATGGCATGTTTTAAAGTTTCAATTACTATGAATAAAATATTTTTCTTCCATCACTCTTGGTTTTATTGGATTGTTAAAATGTTTCCATTTTTTTGGTCACCCTGTATATATATATATATATATATATATATATATATATATATGACATGTAGCATGATCCTTTCAAAACATATGGAATCTCAAAAATACCATTCAAAATATACCACAATATACCACACATAATGTGAGATATCCCTGCATTAAGGCAATGATTCTCAACTTCCTCTTAAGTGTTCCGAGGAATATTGTCAAGGAAAAATATGATTGGATTCCAAATTCCTTCATGAATCTTCCTTTTCATAGTAGACTTCAGTTACGTGAAGAAAATGAATTGGCCATCATTTCCAATGAGTGATTGCTCAAAATAATGCATTCGACGCTATTCATTGATACATTTTAAATTTCAATCCAAAAGGAATATCACACATTAGCTAAAAAGGCTTTATCAGTTTTATTACAATTTTCTACTTCTTATTTATATGAATTAGGCTCCTCAACCTTAAATAACATCAAAAATAAGAAGCGAGAAAAAACTACGTTCATCGTACAATCGACCAAACATTGAAAAATTGCGAAAAAACACCAGGCACAAGTTTCATACTAAATAAGACGCACAAATAGATGAATAGAAATATTGAAATGAAGGAAGTTTATATTTATGTGTGTAATTTTTTAAATTTCCCCCTAAGCCAGTGATTCACTTAAGTATACCGTTAAATAAAATCAAGACGTTTCCACAACCAATTTAGCCACCGGTCACGTGATTTTTCGAGTTTTTTAACAGTTTCCCAGCCGTTGATTCTGTATCATAACATTCAAATGTTGCACCGTGATTTTTTCCATTTGCTCCCAAGTGTGCCGTTGGGAAACACTACCTTCACGTTTAAGCTGAACACATCTTTAGCGCTAATCAATGATGGTCGCAATGGTGCAATGGACGACAGTATTTCTCGATATTAACTGTTTCGTTTTGATTCAGTGCTACATGAGCGACAATATCAGAATATAACATAATATGATATGATGTAATAGAGAATATCAGAACGCTGAGCAGGAAAGGCGAGGCGACGTTCGACATTGTCCAATATGAAAACACTACAGTTCTTCATTCGTTTCAGAGCAAACAAAACTGCGTATGATGTCGAGAAAATACAATACAAGTTCAGTGTGTCGCTAAATAACATCAACAATAAGAAGCAAAAAAAACTACGTTCAACTAAAAAAGAAATGAGGGTCTGCTTATCGTACATTAAACCAAACATTGAAGAAATCCCATAAGGAAACCAGACACAGGTTTAGCACTAAATAAGCTGCGCATATCGTTGAATAGAAACATTGAAATCAAGTTCATATTTGTGTGTAATCATACTTATTATAAAACGTAGATTGTGTGTGTGTGTGTGTGTCTGTACGTTTATATATTGGATCGGATTTCCTACATTTTTCAACCGATTTCAGCAAAACTTCACAGGACTACGTAAAATTACCTTGCGGTGGTTCTGACAGCGCCAAAAATTGGAAAAACACAATTGTTTTTGCACGAAATCAATTTGAAAACACGATTAAGAGGCATCGCGAGAATGAAAGGGGGACAACTCATATCGAGTTATACTCGATTGTTGTTTGTGTGTGTGTGTGTTCGTTTATATATGGGATCGGATTTCCTACATTTTTCAACCGATTTCAACAAAACTTCACTTTTTTTTTTTGGCAGGTAGTGTTTCTTGTTGTCTTGCACACTTTTTTCTTTATTTTTACATTCAGAATGCTTTAAAAATTCCATTTACAAGACAATTGTTTATAATAAAATTCTATTCAATTGGTAGACTCATAACGATTGAAAACAATGTTTTTATTTGAGTTTGGGTTTGACCAATTCGTAAAAAAAAAACTAATTAAGACATGCGTGTCCGTCAACTTAAACAATAATCTTTGTCAATTTTATTTTTCAGTCTTTAAGATGGTCGATACTTGATCTATCTCTTACTGTTACATCCCCGGGGAACGCCGGGCTCTACTGCTAGTTTATTATAAATCTATGATTCTGTATCATAACATTTAAAAGTTGCACCGTGATTTTTTCATTTGCTCCTAAGTGTGCTGTTGGGAAACACTGACTTCAGGTTTAAGCTGAACACATGTTTACCGTTAACCAATGATGATCGCTTCTGCTGCAGATTTTTGGTGCAATGGACGACAGTATTTCTCGGTATTAACTGTTTCGTTTTGATTCAGCACCACAGAGACAAATCCCTTCATACCCGACCAAAATAGAGAGCATAAATTTTTCGTCTGTCATTCTAGTTTGGGGAAGTGTTCTCTTTTTTTCTGTGGATGCAACCATTCGTTGGTTATGATTACAGTGGAAATCATTTTTCATCATTGGTAATGATTCTGCCCAGGAAATGTTCAGTCGTAAGTCAATTCTTCAGTGACGAGCACGGGGAAATTTCTTTGACCAAACCGAAATATGACGAGGAACTCACTGACCAAGTTCAGACATAATTCTGAGTGCCTGAAGATGGTTCATGATCGAAGTGTAAGTTGTATTGAACTGTCTTGTTAATTTTCATGCAACTTGCTTAGAATTTGTCTCACCTACAGTTTACAAAAATTGCGTATTGACAGAACTTGGTCGACCAGATCGAGGGATGTTTCTCGATTGAAACTGGCCAGTCCATTTCCATAGAGAGAACAAATATATTTATCGCTTTCCTTGCGGGTTACCTGGAGTTTTTGTTATGGGTCTGAGCTAAATGCATTTTAAAAGGATAAAATAAATATAAAATTTACCCGCTTTCATGTTAAGTAATCTGAAAAAAAAAGAAAAAAAAAAAGAAATATTAAAACGGAAAATTAAACTTTACCATACTGCATGTGACTTCATTTGCTGTACCAAAAGTTTATTCTGCCATTGAAGGTGACTCCGATCCCTGAATTTGAATTTGTTTGAATGTCATAGTTGTGTTGCCCTATCCTGCTATGGCAACAGTAAACAAATTTGAGTGAAATTAACAATACGGTTACTGCAACTGAGTGGCCTTGAAAAAGAATGCTGTGAAAAGAGAAACACTATTAATAATGCAGAGTGAAAAAGTTTTTTTGGTCTGGAAATGTTATAGCTAATTTCTCTTATTGACAAAGGTTGCAGATATTGCTATGATTGTTGTAAAGATTAGTTTTTTTTTTTCTTTTTTTAAAAAATTATATCTCGTAGTATTCATACTAAAAAAGTTCTTGTGGGTTCATATGAAGTGGAATAGAAAGAACATATCTATATTTCATTTAATTCCCCACTGATATATTTCCAATACATTTGACTTCCCCTCCTCCTTCTCCTCACTTTCAACTACACTTCAAGTCGTGCCCTTATTCATTTATTAATAGCGTTCATAAAGTTTTTTTTTTTAAAATAAAGCATTTGGAAATTAATTGACCTAAATCGCCTGACGATAGCGACAGATTGAAACCAAGGTAGCGAAATCCGCAGTAGGGATAATTCCAAGGAGGATATTAATCCAGGGAGAGCACAATGTAAACTACAGAGCATTATAATATTAATCAAGAAGAAAAGCTTAATAATTCATTTCTGTTATAATTTATTTCATAGGTATATATATATATATATATATATATATATATATATATATATATATATATATATATATTTCATCTCTTCGATCGAAATCTCTTAGTAATTGGAGACAATACACCGGACTGATATATTAGATAAACAGGGGGAAGTAGAGCAAGAGAGAAGAGAGACGGAGAGGCAGAAAAAAAGTGACGGATGGTCAAGTTCTTTTAAAAAGCCATAATAATATTCGATCGAAGAGATGAATATATATATTCAAGAAATAAATTATAACTGAAATGAATCTTTAAGGTTTTCTTTTGATTATATATATATATATATATATATATATATATATATATATATAGATAGATAGATATGAATAAACGGAAATACATATGAATAGACTGTGATAGATAATTAGATAGATAGATATGAAAAGGCTGAGATAGCTACTTCGCGTGCTACCTAGATATATGTAAAGAGACAAAGATAGATATGTAGATAGATATGCATAAACTGAAATAGATATGAATAGACTGTGATAGATAGATACATACGAGCAGACTGAAATATATTTATATATATATATATATATATATATATATATATATATATAGAGAGAGAGAGAGAGAGAGATAGATAGATGTGTGTGTGTGCGTGCGTGTGCTTGCAGTTTCAATTGAATCGTTTACTTCGTTGGAGTTTTATGAAGTCGTGTGTACAGAAAGATATCGACATATTGTCGCAGGAATGAAGAATCCGTGTTCTCATTAGTTGTTCAGCTAATAGCCGGGAACATAGGCTTAGCGGATATTCACACGATAGAAGTCACTGGCAAACGTGTAGAGAGATCATCATCATTATCATTTTAATCGTCATCATCGCTAACACAAACACATGCCTTGCCAAAAACCTTTTTATTCATATGCTTTCATTACATATCTATTCAGGCGTCAACGTGATTTTGAAGTTGCCTATCAGCCACGTTGAAAGGGAACATCTTTCCCAATAGTATTTAGGACGAAAGTGTAACGAACTCGATCGAACTTCGAACATGGTCGTTGATTTTACTTTCTGGGTTGTTAATGTTGTGGATTCCGAGAATGAATATAGGAAAATAAGTGTATTAACGTAATAATACAAACTTGTAATGCATGTTAGTAGTTCCAGAAATGCGGGTTAGTAGCAGCAATATATATATATATATATATATATATATATATATATATATATATATATATATATCTTTGTAATTGAGGCCGTAGATATCTATGTCTGGACTCGACTATAAATCTAGTTAAACACCCAGTCTCGACATATTGCTGTATTACTTCCTTACTGTGACTCTTGCTCGCCCCGTTCGTTCTCTCGGAAGTGGTATATGTATACTCTGGGTGAGTCCATTTGTGCAAAAATGGGAAGACCCCTCAATAGTTAACCGTTATCCGATCCGTACATCCATATCTATACTTATATTAGTGTCAAATTTGTTTAGTACGGACCTCCCAGTGACGGATGAAGTCACTACATAATGACAGTCTAGACCAATGATTCCCAACATGAGGCGCATGCCCCACCGTTGGTACAGTGGATAAAGGCGTTAGTTAGATCCAGTGACAGGACTCAAAGAGTGAGAGTTCAACACGCGGTTAAGGCGGTGGAGAACTTGGCGAGCGGAATTAACAGGAGATAACTGATAACTGACATCCATTAGACATGGCACGTGGAACTAGAACAGTCTACCCCAGTGAGCGAAATAAAGGGTTCAGTTCGACATTCCAATCACCTAAAGAAGGCCAGAGCGTACAACTCCCGAAACGTTGTGATATAATGGCAACAAAGATGAAGACGATAGTCTGAACAATGTAAATAGTGTTCTTTGAATTCGTTGATTTTTTTTACTTGCTTATAATGAACATGTTCACGTTCGACACTACATCAAAGAAAAGGTTAGTAATTTTTCTGTCTTTCTTCCCCTAATTCTGTGAACGTTTCCTTTCCTTTACCATAATGATTCCCAATGTGGGGCGCATTCTCCACCGGTGGCGCATGGTAACACTTTGGTGGGTCATGCGTAGGATATGCACCCATGAGCTTACTATGCAAACAGAATAAGAAGACTATTCAAGAAAGAGTTATTAACAGTGAATTGTTTTCCAGTGAGCTTAAATTTCATTTTGTATTATTTCATGATTAAAATGATCAAAGTATATTACAGAATAAGTTTTCCTTCAAATGTTTTATATTTCTGCCTTTCAGTTCTCTATTATATATTTTGAAACTATATATAGTTAACTGTCTTTTTTAAAAAAAATTCTATTTCAAGGACGCCATTGTCTTTGAAGGCTTGTTTAGAGACTAAGTTAATGGCCTTTTAAGCTTTCTTAACGTGAATTGCAGTAAAATTTTGAATATGTAAGAATTAAATATTACAGGGAGGCACCAGAATTTTAGAACTACCAAAGTGGGGCATGGTCTAAAATCGGATGGAAGCCACCGGTCTAGACAAACTGAGTAATAATTACCTCACGCCGAACCACTAAATTATAAGTAAATTCTACTAGTCTATGGGTACTGATCTTGTTTAGTCTCGTATCTTGTTACAATTTTATGGCAACCGACTTACTTGGTCAGGCCAGACCAACATAGAGGTTAAAATGTACAATACCGTCGAGCCCCTATTGCTCTTGTTTCGATTTACGCCGTTTGCCTCGTAAATACGGCGCGGCAGAAGAATACAATACGCGGCGGAAGGATACATCGTCATACGGCGCTAGAATGAGAAAGTCGGCGTGGCTCAGCACTTCGTTGTCCTTCGTATTATTTTGTTGTGCATTCGCTCACTTTCGTTTGTGTTGTGTTCGTGAACATTTATTGCTTTTCCTTATGGCTCCCTAGTGTAGTGTAACCTCTTCTGATGGCGGTGCTTCGAAGAAAAGGAAAGCTATCATCAGGAAAGTGAAAATATTAAATGCTCTGAAAATAAAGCTAGGATAATAAAGTAGGGATAATTCCATGGAGGATATTAATCCAGAGAGAGCACAATGTAAACTACAGAGCATTATAATATTAATCAAGAAGAAAAGCTTAATAATTCATTTCTGTTATAATTTATTTATATATATATATATATATATATATATATATATATTCATCTCTTCGATCGAAATCTCTTAGTAATTGGAGACAATACACCGGACTGATATATTAGATAAACAGGGGGGAAAGTGAGCAAGAGAGAAGAGAGACGGAGAGGCAGAAGAAAAGTGAAGGATGGTGAAGTTCTTTAAAAAAGCGATAATAATATTCGATTGAAGAGATGAATATATATATATATATATATATATATATTCAAGAAATAAATTATAACCGAAATGAATCTTTAAGGTTTTCTTTTTGATTATATATATATATATATATATATATATATATATACAGAGAGAGATAGATAGATAGATAGATATGAATAAACGGAAATGCATATGAATAGACTGTGATATATTACAAAATTGGACGGTTTGCTTACTTCAAATCTTTCGACTGTCGCTTAAAACATGAATATATACTGAGTTTCCCTTTAAGCGATAGAACATTTTCTTGTTAAACTATAAGTTGGAGAATTCCCGATAAATATAGAGAAGAAACTGACATTTATTTTTCTTTCTTCCCTTCTCATCTGCTGAGAAGTGACATCACTGGCAATAGATATACAATCCGCTTTAAATAATTTCATTTCATTATATGTATTTCACTTACTGCCCCCATGTTTTTTTTTTAGCCCCTATTATGTTAACATATAGCATAGAAATGTGTTGGGCACCTCCAGGTGGTGTAATGGTTAGCAAGCTTGTCTCGCTAGAACAACTACGACTGAGTAGTGAGTTCGATCCTCACTGGGTGTCCCATACTTTCGTCCTTGTGCCACATCTAAGCTACGCTTGGAAAATAACTATAGCATAGAAATGTGTTGTCATGTTCAAGATTATTACTTTAATACTGCATAAGCTTAGGTGAGTGACATAATTGCTTATTCACAGGATATCGCGTGTATGTTCGGACTTAAAGTTTTATTAAGCATATTAAAATTTGTCGAAAATATTTTGAAACTGGCTCCTTGCGGGCCGCAGATATATAGTCCATGAGCCACGTTTTTGACATCCCTGTTTTAGGCGATACCTCTCGATAGGCGATACTTTTAGACGATAGCAAGAGTTAATTCCCGGAGCCTGAAGCGACTACAAAGAGGAAGTACCGAGAGAGCTTGAGGAATTTTGTTTGTAGTAACACGTTCGCTTGAACTCATCCATGTTACAGATTCCGTTTGAATATGTGTACGGAAATATACCGTCACATCATCTCAAATTTACTACACAAGAATGTATCGTTCCCGCAAATCATTGTCATGATCAAACAGAAAATTTAGATATCGAAGATGTTCTAGCACTTGCAAAAACTCATACGGATGCGCTAAGGATTCGACCAGCAAAAATGCTCACAAGTACATTTCTTTGTGTTAGGGGTGAGGTACGAAAATGTTGTTATGGATAACGGCTCAGAATGAGAAATCAGTGAACCGAGTTCGAATCCCAGTCGGAATTGTTACATTCAATTACGTCCAAATACCAATGGAAAAGAGATTGATTCATCTCTTTTCTTCCCGGCGAAGAGGGAAGAGTTTGAGTTTGAGTTTGAATTGAAATCGCAGACTGGATCCTATAGCCTTGGTTGGCAACCAGTCTACCACAGAAAGAAATGGCAATCTACGACGAGAGAATCTTCTGCCTAGTCAGTCTGATCGCCCAAAAGTGTATCGCGTATTGTATTTAACTGACTAATGGATAAGTTACTAGTACATCTTCAGTACGGGACGTGAAGACAAACAAATGTTGTCAATTCTTCTTTCAAGTTTTTTCTTTCTTTCTTTTGGACTTGCCTTCTTTCTTTCTCGTCTTTCTTTCTTTCTTTCTAGATTTCTCTCTTTCTCTTTAACATTTTTCCCTTTTTTTTGGCTTTCTTTACATATTTTTGTTTGTTTGTTTCTTTATATTTTCTTTCTTTATAGCACCTTTCTTTCTTTCTAGTTTTTTTTTCTTTCCTTCAGACTAGCCTTTTTTCTTTCTTGCTCTCTTTCTTTTTTCTAGCTTTTTATTCTTTCCTTTTTTATGGCTTTCTTTCCATATTTTTGTCTATTTATCTTTTCCTTCTTTATAACACTAACCTTTATTCCAGGGTTTTCTTTCTTTCCTTCAAACCTTTCTTTCTTTCTTTCTTTCTTTCTTTCTTTCTTTCTTTCTTTCTTTCTTTCTTTCTTTCTTTCTTTCATTCTTTCTTTCTTTCTTTCTTTCTTTCATTCTTTCTTTCTTTCATTCTTTCTTTCTTTCTTTCTTTCTTTCTTTCTTCTAGCTTTTCTTTTTTTTTTCATAGTTTTCTTTTAATATTTTTATTTTTTCTTCCTTTCTTTATCTTTCCATTCTCTATAGTATCATCCTTTCTTTCCAGGTTTTCTTTCTTTCTTTCTTTCTTTCTTTCTTTCTTTCTTTCTTTCTTTTTTTTCAAGCTTTTCTTTCTTTCATTTTTTTAGCTTTCTTTCCATATTTTTGTTTCTTTCTTTATCATTTTCTTCTTTATAGCATCGTTCTTTCTTTCTTTCTTTCTTTCTTTCTTTCTTTCTTTCTTTCTTTCAGACTAGCCTTCCTTTGTTCCTTCCCTCTTTCCTTCCTTCACCCCTTCCTTCCTTCTTTTTTTTTTCTAGCTTTTTGTGCTTTTCCTTTTCACAGATTTCTCCCATTGTCTCTAATATTTTTCTTTTCCCGCTATTCATTCATTCTTTCTTTCTTTCTTTCTTTCTTTCTTTCTTTCTTTCTTTCTTTCTTTCTTTTGAGGATAGAAATGGCGAGGTAGAATTTTTGTAAACTCTTATCGTGGTGCAAATTTCCTCGTTATCATCTAATGTCAATGAGAACTTAGTGCAAATTAAGATTAGAGTCTAATCACGAATAATACCAGTAGATTAGGCTGGTGATAAACTAAGTAGGACAATAAGTCCCGTGTCCGGGTGTGGTCGTAGGGTCACTGCGCAGCTGAGCACCTGATCAATCCCCTCCACAAATCTAGGTTGAAAGCCGTAGAAGTATTCATTCATACGAGCGTGTAGGGGATAATTAGACCTGGCGAAGCCTATCCCTCTTCAAGTCAAACTATAACTGATGTCCTCTAACTAGATCGTCCTGGGTATGACAACAAACTACACCCGGTAGCAAGGCCTCTGATCACGAGGTTTTGAGGAGCACCTGTTAAGGGGTACCAGCTATTGGCAAATAGTTACACCCCACTCCACTCACCAAGAAAAAAAAACAACAAAAAACAAAAAAAAAAAAAAACGGAGGACAAAACACTACGAAAGTATAAAAACGCAATACATTTCGGGAAAAAAAAAACAAAAAAAACAAAAAAACAGCTATGGGGAAATAGTGAACCCCGATATTGGGGCCAAAACATGAAAATATGAAAATATAATGGAAAAAATTAACAGTAATACATTTTTAAAAAAAAAAAAAAAAAATACCAAAGTTCAAAAGTAAAGACAATTTCGGTATTAAATGACCCATAAGGTCATTTAATATGCCGTTAAAAAAATCAAACCAAAATGCTGACCTTGGTTATGGATACGCGATCGTTGATTCCGCGATCGAACCCACTACCCTGGTCTTTTAACAATGTCGAATCATCCTCTATCCTGAGTTGCTTTCGAATCCTGTATTCGGCAAATTTAGTTTTAAAATAAAGTGACTATTTTTTTTTCGTCTTTTTCTTTTTTCTTTTTTTTTTCTTTTCGTTTGTAATTCATTCACTTTTTCTTCTTTTATAGGCTTTTTTTCCTTCTTTACCCTTTTTAGAAAAAAAAAAAATCACATGAGGCCTGGTGATACGACAGTCGTCTTACCGTCCCTTCTCCAGTCATTTGTCTGGCTGCACGGCTCATGTTCAAACACATTGCTAATTGCATTTGCCGCGTCTTACCAATGTACTGGTCACGCGACCCGATCGATTCACAATTTCATTTTTTTTTTTTTTTTTATCAGAGCGATGTTTCGGATGGGATCGTTACGAGGAACCAGATATTGAAAATGGCATTCAATCTGTTGTTAATTGGATCAAGAAATGACTCGTAAACTTTAATGCCTCCACAAGAAACAGCTGTCTTTTAGTTATCTTAGCGAATTTTTTTTTTTTTGCCTTCCATCATTATGGCTGATGTTAACCTCCAGAAGAGCAACTCATTGTGACTTCTCGGGCTCACGTTTTCCACTGACATCAAGTGGAACGATTATATTGAATCAATTGGTAGGTCTGCTGCTAGGAAAGTTGGTTCACTGTACCGTGCTAGACTATCTTTCTCGCCAGAATCTATCGTATACATTTATACGTGGTCAATTCGTCCGTGCATGGAATATTGCTGGTCTTGTACTTCTGCTATATATTTAGTGATTCTTGATAAAATCCAAAGAAGAATCTGTAATGTTATTGGTCCTGATCTGGCATCTCGGTTTCAGGCATTTTCTGATCGTCCTTTCTAACGTCGTTTCCCTGTGCCTTTTCTATAAATTTCATGGTAATTGTTCTGATGATCTTTCTTCATTGGTAACTCAACCTCACGGATTTAAGCGCAGTACTCGACTGTCAATTAGGTCTCATAATTTCACTGTTGAAATCGTTAGAAGTAAGCGTTAAGTTCTATATTAACAGTTTCTTTGCTCGGTTTGTGGAACTTTCATTCAGCTTCTTCTTTTCCTGTTAACTCTGATCTTCAAAATATGCAACCTTAATGATCATCATCTGTTTATTTGAATTCTGTTCACTTACTGTCTTGGAGGACTTTATCGCCTTCTTTCTGGCGAACTGATTAAGAAGCTAAAGAAGATCAATAGAGTCGTATTAATAGTTGTTGTTTTGACGAGAACAGGGTGTACCACTGGAAGCATCGGATTTCAGATAATTTATGATTTTATAAAATCCAAACAGATTTAAGTTTATCTTGAACTAGCAGCATGGCCCGGCACTGCCCGTGCTTGATTCAAAAATCGTACGACTCATACAGCAATCGCTATCACTTGACTTAAAATATTTTTGCCCTTTCTTGCCTTTAAAGGAGTGCCCTTTGCCGTGCTGATGTTGCTACATGCCTTACTTCTTGCCTATCTCACACTGCGAATTTTTTCTAAGCTCTATACTAAACATTGAATCTGTTACGAAAAAAGAACTAAACAAAATGAACACAAAACGATCAGCTTTAAAAAAGGACTCGTAACTGGAAAAACCGAATGAAAAAAGAATGTTAACAACAAATACTTTTTCACACCCAACCCAGTTCTGCGGAATCAAAATCAACGTTGAGTTTAAGCAAGCGAATGAGCCAATTGGAATAAAGTGCCATGCAGATTTAAATTTTTCCCCCATGTGACGAATGCAGTTATCGATTTTTTTTTGCATGCTAGCATGCTAGTTAACATTCGTGTCAGTCAGCTGTTGGCTCTCACGCTGGCCAATAGAATCTTCCTGCCTATTCGTGGCAACCAGCTATAGGCACTCACTCTGGCCAGTAGAAAATGGCCGCAAACTACATGAAAACTGCCGTAGAAGCATGAAAAAATCGATTATTTCCACTATCGATGGGAGTTGGGAAATGCAAAGTCGGTGTTGGCTTTCCCGCTAACTTGGAGCATGTGCATGTAAACTTTGCTGCAAATCCATCGAAAATTGCGGCCGTGCATTCGTTACACACACACACACACACACACACACACACACACACACACACACACACACACACACACACACACACACATCCTGCCTTTTATAGATAGAGATGAAACTGGAAACTAGAAAGACACTTTCCATAAAATCAAAATGAAGAGCTGAAATTAAAATACTCATTATGAGGAAAGAGGGCGTGGAAAATTAAACACTCACAAGAGGGTAGGAAGGACCGAGGGAGCCAATGAATGATCTACCGAAAGAGCTTGTTTGAATGGATGTCAGAGCAGCAACAAAAATGTGTTGGTCAAGTCAAACTTGGTTTAAAGCTACAACAGACAGGAAGCTGTGGAGAGACAGCGTCGCACGCGGCAGATAAAAAGAAATCAACGATTATTTGACTATACCAAATTAACCTGCCCCCTTTTTTTTCTCCTTTCGACCGTTTTAGGAGAGTTTAGTTTTAAGCAAGATCATTAAAAAAAAAAAGAACGCTTTTTGCCTGTATCGTAACAGCTACTGTATTCTTCTTCTTCAGTATCCCGTGTCCATTCAGGACGTGGGCGTTCATAGCTCTCCACAGATCCCTATCCCTTGTAACCCTCAACAGCGTGTCTTCTTTTGCCAAGTCAACCACTCCTCACCTCCGCCATCAACTCACAAAAAGTCGCCAGAAAGGTGGTTCGCTGCCTCCCCAATACACCTTGTGAGTGTTAAATTTTCCAAGCCACCCCTTTATTATATGTACAAGAGCATTCTGCTGTCTTTTTCTGATTCTTTTCGTTATCATTTTCTTTAAGGCTTCCCCGTTGTTTACACACTCCGTACATGGAATTCTCAGTATCCTTCTGTAGAACAATATTTTTTGTTGCCTTTGGTGTTCTTTGTATCTGTTGGGAGATTGTCCAGCATTCACTGCCACATGCGAAAATTGATATCACATAGGAATTCGGTAATCTTTTTTGTTTGTTTGTTTGTTTCTAAAGAAATTCTCCTGTTTCTTAATACTTTGCATAGCTTTTGGAAGGCATCTTTCGCTATCCCAACGCGCCTTCGGATTTCAGTGTCACACTTTCCGTCCTTTGTTAAAACACTTCCCAGATATTTAAATTTCCCTTTTTCTTAATACTTTGCTTAGCTTTTGGAAGGTACCTTTCGCTATCCCAATGCTCCTTCGGATTTCAGTGTCACACTTTCTGTCCTCTGTTAAAACACTTCCTAGATATTTAAATTTCCCTGTTTCTTAATACTCTGCTTAGCTTTTGGAAGGCATTTTTCGCTATCCCAATGCTCCTTCGGATCTCAGTGCCGCACTTTTCCTCCTCTCTTCAAACACTTCCCAGATATTTAAATTTCTCTACTTGTTTGTTGTTGACAACTACAAATCGTAGTTCGCATGGACACTGTATTCTTACACTTGATAGTTAGTCCTTTCTTCGCTCTTTTCTTTATTACTTTGTCTTGGAGTCCCTGTGGTTTTCTTTCTTTATTAACCCTCAACAGAATTTCATCTGCGTATCTTAAGATCGTATCCACGGATAATAAATCATCGTAGGGTTACCTGCTTCCTAATGATATCTTTTCTATATATGTTGAAAAATCCAGGGAAAAGATGCATCCTTATTTTAGCGTGAATTTTAAAATGTTCAGAATAATGTATTCTTGTTTACTGATTTAGCTTTTTTTATTTTAAGTTCGAAAAATGACGCCGTCAAATGAAAGAAAAAAAAAATGAACAAACAATAAAAACAGTAACATATAATTGTACACAACCTAACACTAGAGTCAACAGAAAATATGCAATATTTCCGGTATATTATATCATTTTTATATGCAATTCAAATGAAAAAAAAAAAAAAACATTATGGAGAAGGTTTTGTGAAAAACCGAAAATGTCAAAAATGGCTTGAGAAGTTTTGCGTTGAATGTGCGGGTGATGCAAAGGACAATGGCCCGGAATGAGATCTCGGAAAGCCGAGTTCGAACTACAGTCGGGTTCGTTGCATTTAATTGCGCGCAAATACCGATGCAAAAGGTATGAATCTATTTCCTGCCCTCAGCTATGGGTTAAGTATAAGGACGTACCTGGAAAGACCATTGCTATTCTTAAAATGTGTTAATACAATATTGACTCGCAAATAAAAAAT